GCAGCTTGGTTATTGTTACATGTTAGCACTGCATAAAATCTGGATATATATTTGAGTACAAAATTGAAACTTCCAAGGCTGAGGGACATAAATATATACCATAATTATGGTTCATCAGTGGGCTTTTGCCTTTTCAAACCTTACCTTCATGTCTGGTTTAAGGGAGTCATGGAAAACTATCAGATTCAACATATTTTACCAGTTTTGGCTTGAGAAATGTTTCCCTAGAACTGCCATCACTTTTTTTTGTTGTCGTTTCTATGAAAAAGCTCATAGTTTCATTTCATGGAAGGGCAGCACTACAATGGCAGAGGCAATGCATATTCAGGCTGAGTGGCACTAGCAGAAATGTGTATGTACATTTAAGTGTATTTGGCTTAGTGGGTGGATGAGGAGATAAATGTGCACAGCCATTGTTCATATATTTAAAATATTATATACAACTTCAGGAAAAAAGACAGGAGGTTTCCTCCTCAACTTCAGATAAATAATTTCATTAGGCTTCTGGAAATGTATGCCAAAGAGCTCACTTTTTTTTTCTGTGTCATTTAGCTGGGTCTTGACAGTTTCTGAGCAAGTTTTATTGTTTGGCTGGGAATTATTTTAGATCTTCAATCAAAAAAAAACCTCAGGCTTACGAAATTCTCCTTGGCAACACACTGAAAACCCGGTGTCCTCTGATGCCTCTGATTCTTATGTGATCAGGGACACTAATGATAATGACCCTTTGCTGAGTATGCTACTTGTCTAGAGGCCTGTGTCAACTACACCACTACATCCAGAGTGGACAGGGACAAACTATTTGTTTGCTCTTCAGGCCCCTTGGGCCCTGTCATATGCTATTTGTTCTTGCATTAAGAGGTAGTTTGACTCGGCTGGGCTGACATTTCCTTCAAGTCAGTGTATTCCACTCATGCAGTAGCAGCTACCAAAGCAATAAGTATAGACTTGAGGCTCAGCAACAATCATTTAAGTGGCTTTTTTGATTCATATCCAGGACTTTTCACATTTTTACTGGTCATTCTGAATCCAAAATGACACATTTTTTTAAAAACTAGCTTTGCTATTTGATATTCAGGCAACATAGTCTCCTCATAGTTAACGTGGCTGCTTATCAATAACATGAATCAGAACCTGCAACTGAGACGATGAACAAGGACTGATACTGCTGCATGATACCAGAGGCATTGATCAGTTCTACTTTTCTTCTCCACCTCATGAAGGATACCTGATATGTGATTACTCTCCCAGTCACAGGCTTCCTTCCTTTTCCTTCCATTTCCTACTTAAATTTTACTTTTTACTGTAACAGGATGTCCTTGTGTTCACATCTTAACTGGAGTAGGATATTTTTTTTCCTGTTGGAGTTTCAGTACAGGTAAAAACAGTCATGACAATGCTGAGTATTGTTCTGTTTAATTTGCATTCGTAGGTACTGTTGGAATTTGAAAACTTTGTTTCTGATAGATTACACTCTTCTAGTATTTTATCAGTGTGATCCTGCTCATGCCATTTGATGTGATGCAGCATTCAGTTAGAACAGTGACTTCCTAAATGTGAGTCTAGACCATCTGTGATGCACACAAAGAGCATTTGTATGTCAATTGCCTATTTATATCAGTTAGTAATTTATTGTAATTTAGAGTCATTAAAAAGGTGTCATTAAAAAGATGTCTCCAATCTATCTATCCAGATCATATTTAGTAATGCAGATTTCTACTTATGTGTTAGTAAATCTCAAAAATTCCCACTCTCTGACCAGGTCAGACCACTTGTCATGAGTCCCAGGGAATCCCTGTGATACCATTTCTGTCCTCTGTTCTAATCCATCAATACAAAAAGTCATAAAGTTTTGTCTCATAGCATAATACCCTCCACCACTGTGGGAATCTAAATCCTATGCAGCATTTTCAACATTATCTTAGCTGCAGGGCTGCTCAGAACGATTCAAAAGTCACAATTTGTATTTCAATTTATTAATTAATTTTTCACATATTTATTGTTTTCATACTCCAGACTTCTTGTCTTCCAGGCTCCTTCTAGATCCTCTGGATGTAAAACCACAGCTGAGAAAAAGTTTGCAAAGTAGCCAGCTATTTCTGGGCAGGTGGGACAGGGGCAAAGCTGACTTGAAAAAGGAGTTTTTAAAGCAAATTTACAAAAAAACTTCTAAAGATAAATATCGGCTACAAGACATGACAGTGCTTTAGCTGATTTACCTCTTGGGTGCTTCTAGCTGACATGCACTAAAGATTTCTGGGCAGGAAAGCAAGTACCTGTCACTTTCTGTAATTTACAAGGATACGAAACAGCAGATTATACAGTCCACCATTGTTCCAGAGAAGAGAAAATAGTTTGACCATTACCAACAAATCTTAACAGAGCTCTCTTCTGATTCAATCCACTTTGTCTTTTCTAGCACCTTGGACCAAAGTTAAGTCAGTGTAGATAAAGAGTAAATGAAGAGACGGCTGGGTCTGGGGAGACACTGAGGGTGCGAACACTGGGCTGGAGAATAAATTTAGCAGCAACAGAGAAGAGGAAGAAAACAATGTCTGGATTTGGAAGCCTGGCAAGTTCTCCACTCACTGCTCAACCTGTGTTTAGCAATTCTGATGTGCTACTGAGCAGACAGCTCAGGCTCAGGACGACTACTCTCCCTCAGTCCCTCTTCAGCAGGCAATGAAAGCAGGCTGTACTTTGAAAATCTTCCCCCATCATGCAAACTGACACAGGCATGCTTTTCAAAAACCCACAGCCAATCTGTTGATCATTACTTATTTACAAAGGCCTTCGGGCAGAAAGTCCTGTAAAAACCATACTTGATACGGTATACACTAGCTTTTTCTGCTTGTGGAAAAAAGTACCCCTAAGGCTACCTCAAACCATCACTTTCTATTGCACATAAAATGTACCGTGTAACACTAAAGTATTTAATATATATGGTATAATATATCTACAGGAAAGGCATTTGTGTAGAAGTATGTTACCCTGTATTTGGTAATTTGATGTTTTGCTGAAGGCTATGACTTGAAAAAGCCTGCACCTAGTACAGAGGACCTGTCATCTCAGTACCCAAGAGCCAATAGAATAAAGAAGTACCCTTAAGCAGCAAAACTTTGACACAGCTTTGAAGCATATGAAAACAGTATAACTCCCCAGAATTATTATTACTCAAGATCAAAGAAATGAGGCATACTTTACATAGCAAACAGGGACAGTGTGTTCAGCTCCTTCTTTCTTTCTCTCTCTCTCTCCCCTTCTCTTTCTTTTTACTTCTACTTCCCCAAAATTAGAATCTGGGAGAAGGTGAGGGGGGGAATCTCCATATGTTTAAATTTTAAGCAGTTAAAACAATTAGCACCAGATAAGAGGACTGTCCAAAGGTAAGTAAATTGAAAACTATGCTAGCATGACAACTGGCACTATAAAAATGAGAAGTTTGCCAGTATGCTCATTTTATTCTTCCTCATAAACTGTAAACAAGCATGTAAATCAGTGTCGTTTGGGCAAGGCTGAGCTAACAGGAAGGCAGAGAACTTTTAATGACACATTCTACAGAAATAGATGGTCAATAAGGAAAAAAAAAAAGCCACAGCTGGGTGCATTCTCCCTCTGTGAATCAATCTCACTTTTGGTTCTGTAGTCTAAACAGAGATGAAGACGATTTGTGGAAGTTACGTCCTTGAATATGCCCTATATTGCAGAAACAATAAACAAATATGGATGCTTCTGTAACTGCCCAAAGAAAATTCCAGTCTAGTGACTGAAATACAAAGAGAAATATCACCTACCTGTATCCAGAATTGTTACAGGAACAAAATCATCATCAATAATAAAAATCATAAGAGATTTTATTTATGGAAAGAACTATATATTTGTATCAATTTTTTTTTCACTTAGCCTCCGTGAGCAGACACAGTTACACACAACCAAATCTCAAATTCCACAAATGTGTCTGTTTATATATGCAAACAAGTTTACATTTTTCTGTGTATGTGTACATACATATAGACATAGAGTGGAAAATCTCTGCTATGGTATTTATGGATACAATAATGGACTGAGGGTCTAGCCTGAGTACAGAGAATATGCAAACACAGAGCAGGAACAGTCTTGTTGGAAACTCTGTGTCTACTACAGGATCCAATTTTGACTGAGTTGAGCAGGTAAAAGGCAAAGCACAGTGAGATAGAATGCAAATCACATAATACTTTAATAGATTACAATTTTGTGTTGCAGTTCTAGTTTTAACAAATCTCTTAGAGGTAATTTGTCCTATAAAAGGAAACTACATAGTTATACAAAGGAGTACTATCATAAAATAATGTACACATAGCAACAGGGGAAAATATCTCTAACAAGATGCTGTTTTCATCACCCACTTTTAGAGTATATACTACCCTCTTAAAAATCCCTGTATTTCATAATTAATGTGCTTTTAGCTTGACTAAAACAGCGTTAGTTTTGAACTTTGCTTTGGCAAGTACATATATTATTAGACTTTTTCATCAGTCTAAATCAATTAACAGAAATTTGATTTCAATCGACAGGATAAAAGGAAGGTAATATTCAGGTTCATTTTTGATTGTGATGATACATCTCACATATGGCCTTAAGTACAGAAAACAGTACTCAGAGGGAATCCAACAAAAAGAGAATTGCCTGAGGCAAACTAACCACATGAGTTCCCCTGATTGGTTAGTGCTATCATTAGTGCCACTGCTGTTTAAGAACTACACATGGACAGGACAGGGTGACAGCTAAGACTTTAAAGCCTATGTATTTTTCAAACAGCTTTTCAAACTGTTTTTCATGACAGAATTTTTTTTCAGCTCTATCATTAACTGCTGACAAGCTGACAGAATAAATACTTCAGCCTTTCAGAAACCATCTAACAATCTTTTTTTTCACCCCCTCCCCTTATTTTTGATGTGGGGGGAGGAGAGAAGGAAGGAAGAAAGAAAGGAGATGAAGATATGAGTTTCTTACAGTCTTACCTCATCAGTTTGGGTGAGGAGTTGGGTGAATTTCGCATGCCTCCATTTCGCTGCTTTTTTTTGGGTGATAGTGTCGACGGCTGCTCATCTTCAACTGGAAATATAAGGAACTCATGAGATTAAGTACTGCTCTGAGTGCAATATGAAATACAAGTGAAGTAGCAAAGAACACACACTCTATGTCCATTCACGCACTGATACTTCATTGCTAACATAGGCCAACAGTAATAAAAATCAAATACATGTTAGTCAAAGAGATTGGTTTGAAGGAGAAGCAGAGAAGAATACCAGGGTTTTGAACACAGATGTTCAAATTGGTTTCATACTTCCAAAAACAAAGGCGGGGGGACCACATTCGGGTTATTCTTAGAGTTATTATCAGTTAATCTGCGCTACAGAAAAATAGAATTAGTGCTCTGCTGTATTCCCAGACAGATAAAGTACTATTTTCAATATCAACAGCTGCCAGCCTGCTTTTGCTAATGAACTAGACACCAGTTGTTTCTTGCTCCTCATATGCCAAACAACAGAGTCTTCATGAAGAGATGTAAAATATTCAATGCCTTGATGTTCAATGATTCAGTTAGTCGGGAATGTGAATGCAGCCTGCCATTGTGCGCAGATCTCCAGCACAAGTCAGACCTCATCGCTCTACTCTCCTCCCAAAACGGAGTTTTAACAGGAGTGAACAGAATGAGGTTGAATGGAAGTGGGGAGACAATACCTGTATAACAGAGAATGCATGTGTTATGCAATCTTTTAATGAGGATGATGTGCATTTTCAAGGACAGGTTGATTTCCAGATAGAAAATCACTTATTGTTTTGTCAGTCATAAACTACTCTTGGATAACTTATGTCACAATATGTATTGTCTAAACAAGTGCAGAGTCCTAAGAACTCATCTGTAAGAATTAGCCACCATCTTTGCTGTTTTGAGATTGTAACAGCACTTGATAATCTGTATGTAACTTTTACATGTACTATCAAAGGGAATAAACTCATGCCTTCTTTCTCAGGTTCATACTAATGCTAATTTATTCTGATACAAAGAAGAAATAAATAAACTTTTTCCCATCCTACTGTTAATTGAAAAATTAATTAGAAGATAATATAACTGATGCCTAGGAAGCTTTTACTTTAAAGCTAAAATGAAAGACATTAGTAGTAGTAGAAGTAGCTCTATATTTAAACAGCTTAGTACACATTAGCAGTGCACAAGCAGAAGTTGAGAAAAAAAAAATACTACTTTCAATAAGATACATAAGAAAACCAACAAAACTGGGATATATGTCACCTGCCCCAGACTTATCTGTGAATAAATTAAGCAACAGCCTTTTGCTATAACCCTCTTCTGACACTATTTTATTACAGACTGCATCCTAGCCTGCCACTTCTATCTCTCTGCCCAAGCCTGCTATGGAACATTTTGCCTCGGTTAAGACCAAAGGGCTGGGCCCTGAAAAGACAGATTTTGCTCTTTTTTCAGATGACCTGGCATCACCTAGCACAAGGGAGCCACAACTAAAAGAAAGCATTGCAAAGAGAAAAAAACAAACCATAGCAACCAAACAAAGCTATTCCTAAAATAAACGTGCCAAAGAGTGGTGTAAAAGATAATACTTATATCAGAACAATGAGTGTCTAATAATGATTTACTCACTAAGTTTCTTCTCTTCTTGGGCAGCACCCCTAAAGACAAAGGAATTTTCTTCTCATTTGACTTTTCTTTCTTTTTCCAAATCAAAGTCCTACAGTGTAAATGCTTATTGATGGTTAGTCAAATGCCTCTCAGTCAAATTTGGCTGAGAAATAAATAAGCCTACAGAAATTCTCAAAAAATACACAAACTGACATTTTCTTTCTGTGATAGTTTGCACACATTAAACAAGATCACTTCAGTATTTAGCTATGTGTACCATGAAGTGAACATGCATAGAATTGGTTTTTATGGTAATATCTTTGCAGTTCTAACTGCAAAAAAGCACAAGTCTTTGCACTTTTCAGAACACCCTCTTCAAATTATTCTCTTGAAAATGGCCTAGTCTTGTTTTACGCTTCTCTACCAGAAAGTTATTTGCATGCTATTCCACACAGACAATAGCTTTCAAGATATCCACTGTGCTCTCTTGTTCTTTATTGGATAGAAATATTCAGTTCCACCACTAAAAAGATCAAATGAACAAGAATCATGCAAATGTTCCTTCCAGAAACAACAAATTATCTATTTTGCTCTCTTGGGAGTAAAAAATCTAGATTTCACTCAAATTAAGCTGTTACCATAGGGTTACAAAATGTTTGTCCAGAGATGCAGTACGGCACCACAAGTGTGTTGTTATACAGTTTTAGCAGTTCAAGGAAGATACACATCCATCAGAATCATAGGCAAAAATCTTACAGTAACACAAGTCAACTGTAGATAATATTAGAACCAGAAATCTTTCTCTGCACAAGAGAAAATAATATTAAAGAATAGTATTTTTCCAAGTTTTCAGCTAGCTAATAAGACTCCTGTCTGATCCTTTCAAATTCTGAAAGTTAATACAATAAGGATGTTTTTGTACGATATGGTCCAACATTTGTGTCCTGCAGTGCTGCCAGATGATGCTAACCTGCTGCCCAATGAAAATCAAAGTCTTACTTTGTAATCATCCAAAATAACAACTTCTAGAAGGACATTTCTAGCAGTCTGCACAGGTACTGCATCTGCAATAAATAAGCTTCCTTTCTGGATATGTGCTTGTCATATTCAAATTATGTTACTGTCACCAGTTGCCTGCAAAGCCCAAGGTTGGCATGGCTCACTAGTTAATACCTGTTAGCAAAGCCTTCTGAGGGATCTCAATTTGTTGCTTAACCAAGAAAGCCATTTATTCTCATTGTAGCAATGGAAGTAAATCTATATTAATCATATGACAGAAAATCAAGTTTTATTTTTCGTATTGAAATCTCTGCACAGAGTTTACAGGGCATCTGCAGTTTAGCAACATAGCTCCATAGGAATGGGGGACGGGAACTCATGAAGTTGAAATATGTGAATAGTATCTATTGGACACTATTACCTATGGTTTGGTTCCCAAAAATGTCACAGTGATAATTCACAAGTAGTTTCTTAGTAGTAAATAGGATATAAAACATATTTAATTATTATCCTTCAGATACTCCTATCAATTTCCTGCCTATTTAAAGAAGTGGATCTAGCAAAATTTTTAGTAAGGTTATTAACTATTTTAGTTTCTGCATTAATTTAAAAGGGAGTCTTAAATTCACTTGTTCTTATGAAAGACAAACATATTTGCATAATGGGGCTATGATATATGACAAATAAATTCTGATATTGTATGTTTACTTTGGTTAATGAGTCCCCATTTTTTATACTACAGGATTTGTGTTAACTACAGCCATATTATGTTAGCAGACTTTTTTTACCGCTTTCATAAAAATTGGAAGTAAGTTCAAGAATTGGACACAGAGTTTTATAGATTTGGAACTGAATTCAGCCTCTGAGTTCTAATAACATTCAAGAGCTTGTTTGCACATCCCTAAGTATAACACTTATTGTACTGCTGTAACAACCCAGAGCTCACTTGTCGAATAACAGTTTTGCAGTTCAGGAAGACTCAATGCTAAAAAAATGTCAGGCAAGTCTAATGAGGCTTCAGACACTCAGTTTTATGCTGGAGTTTAATTTAAAGTTACAATGATGTTTTAACATGTTTGCTTATTCTTGAGTAAAGAGTGTTCATTATTTCAATGACATAACCTCCAGACAATGTTCCATGAATTGGTTTAAGATGTGCTGGTAATTTTACAGCCTTAATGTGGAGTTGAACATCTGTAACAACATATTACTTGACTTTTATCCTCATTTCATTTTTAAAGCAAAACAAAGGGAAATTCTTCCAAAACAGCGGACAAGTTCATAACTTTTTTCGTTATTTTCTCACCATCTTTAAAACAACACTGTCTCCTTCACTGTCTCTCCCAGGTCACTAGCTGAACTACTTTACAGATGCTTTTTTAGACACCAAAAAGAGCTGAAATTTGAAATAACATCGATATTACTGAACATCACATGTACTGGGATACCTGGTAAGTTCATTCTGCCTAGCATGTAAATGCTTCAAAGCAATTAAATCCTTTGAAAGGTAAAGCACAAACCACCCAGAAACATTAGTTGACTAGCTATCTCGATTAACTTATTAATCACCACATCTGGAGAAACCCACATCTGTAAGCACTTAACAGAGCATTAGTAATGTCATAGTCACATTGAAAACAGACTGCAAAACCATGCACAAACCATTCTGTATTGCCTTATGCATCCAACTACTGGGCTACCTACGGAGATCTTGGTTCAACCCAGGCTTTTGGGAATGGTAGCGGTATTTTACAGGCAAGCTGAGTGCCCTTTGCAATCTACAGTAGGTAGATTTTCCTTGTTCAACAGAACTCAGTAAGTTAAGGTGCAGCAGCGAGGGGTTGTTGGGTAGGAAGAGGCTCCCTTTACGGTTATTAACAAGTGGAACAGGTTCCGGGATTCCTTCAGTGGACTTGGCATCAATCAATGCATTAGTAGTTGCATTCTTGAACTGATATGAACATTTTGGGTAACTTGATCTAGCTGTATTCTTTACTTCTAAATAATAAGAAAAAATTTAAATTAATTTCTTTGTATTAAAAATTATTTCAAACCACAGGCATGAATCAATTTTGATATTATGTGGAAATACAGTCTTAATGTATCAGTATAAAGCTTAATGTATCCGTTCCAACAGCAGAAATAAAGGTTTATACCTGCAGCTTTCTTATGGTTTTTTTTCCCCTCTAAAAATGACTCTTTATAAAATAATACTTATAGAAGGATTATTCAACAAAATTATCACCTTTAAGCATAATCCCATCCTAGGGTAGTATGTCTGAGGTAATACTTATTTTCCCATGTTGATAAGGGCTTTGAAATTTTACTATCTGTGGAAGATGTTTATTTCTTTGAAACTACTGAAAATGACAGGGGAGGTAAAGCACTCTGCTGCTATTAAAATAAAAAAGGAATCATAGAAAACATAAGGTCACCACTTCAAAATTGTGCAAGCCTACTTATGGAATTAAACTGATTTTAAGGAACCCACATAAAAATTGTTGAGCATTCAACAGTGCTGCATACTGTAAATTTCAGGTCATACATAGTACCTCTGAAAAGAATGTTAAGAAATTCAATTTCCTAAATATGGATTTAGCTTAAAACTGTGATTCTTTGTCTTCCACTGATAATATATCAAGGCTATTTAAACACTACCCCATCTACTAATACCTCTAACAAATGGCAAGCTCAGTAAAAAACAACAACAAAATATTTTTCTGATAAAAACACACAATAAAGATCTTCTCCTAATGCTTGTTTCATTCTGAAAGTATAGTATAGAGAGTATAGCATAGAGAAGATGGTATATAAGTGAGCTGCTAAGACCTTATATTTGGTTACATATAATGAAGTAAATTTAGGTAGGGAGTACTTGGTGGACTGATAAACTTGCAGCATTATTTCCGTGTTTCAATTGCCTTAAAGATTCTACGGAGAACACTGAGCAGAGAGTAAAGGCAAACTATTTGAGGAGGTCAGCATGTTTTTTGGGATCTTACTTTAGTTCACCATCAGCTAGAAACACCATCTGGTAACAGGAAAGATAAGAAAATAGCATTCCCATGCTTGCCATTTTTCTTCAAGCACAAAATCTCTCTCTCTCATGGAAAAGGTGAGTGTATAGGAATTAAAACAGTCATTTGAAGGTACCTTTTAACAAGGTTGAACTGGTTGGTGGCAAAGCACCCATTCCAAATCTATGACTTTTTGATGGCTTGCTACTATTCTGAGGTAGATTGAAAAATTAGTGAGGAAAGAACTGAAGTCTACTTTATTATACTATTCTGATTTTTATTAATAGAAGTAACATTTGAAGTATAATAATAATAATAATAATAATAGATACTCACCAGAGTTCACATGTATTTTAAATCATCAGAGGAGAGCATATATCTTTGATTAGCAATAATGCCACAAAAATAAAATATACTGCATAAAATATTGAATACACTACCTGAAAATTATCAATTTTACCTCAGTTACTGGGTTTTTTATCAGATTTTGTACTTCTACTTTTGATATTCCTCCAAGTGTAATAATTTTCAGCTGATAAAATATATCTGCAGAGAACTATCTCCCTACACATGTCACTGGTCAAGCATGTATTTGAAGGCTTTGATACGCATCAACTCAGTTCTATTTCTAAAGTGCAGATAATAATACTGGAAATAATCTTTAGAAATCCACATCCTATATCAAAGTATCTTCACATGAAACGTAAGAAAACCAGAATCTATTAAGCTTATCAACCCTTTAATCAAGTTGTAAGAAACACCATAATCTTTTTACAGTCTCTTCTGGAGTTCAATAAGTGATGCTTTCAGATACCAGACCTGACTATTAAGCAATAACCTTCCACAGTAGTGCATGTCTTATGGCATATTCCATGCAGACAAAGTCAAGCTTTCCCAAGATTTTGTGCTTGCGGTGGCACAGCATGTGTCGGAACAAAAATACTTGTCTTTTGGTATGGCTTCATATCTGGAGCTTGGCATCATATTTAATAGCACCACATGATCTTTTTCAGCAGGAAGGCAGACTGAGCTGCTTAGAACCTAAGTTACTTCCCCTTACTTCCCGTACCATTGTGGACAGGTACTACCACTGACCATGGGCATAACAAGGTGCCCATTTTTTGGGGTCAAATTATTGCAGATTTAAAAGTTCTAACTACTGGTTTCATCCCATGACTTCTAGCTTCCTGCCTTAAGAGCTTAGATCAAAGTGGAAGAAGCCCCACAGTGGACGAGTCATTAAATTCTTTGTACATAGGACAATTTTCTTTCTTAGTCCAACAACTTATGGCCCAAGTCTTTTTACTCAATCCTCAATAGCAAGGATTACAGAATAATATATCCAAATGATCTATCTTTGGGAGAGATAATATTCTCTTTCTCCATCCTCCTAAAATTACATACATTTTTTTACTGAAGAAGAGTGAAACTGGTTACTCTTAGTGTAAATAGCCCATCAAGCTGTAGGTGCACATTGTACCACACACACTGGGCTGTCAGGATACACCCTGAACTACATGAGCAAGCACAGAGCATTTGCATGAAGCAGTTCTGTACAACTGGGTGAGAAACATAGGTCAACTTCAGCAGATACAGACTACAGTGTGCAGAACCTAAACCACTTATGGAGCATTCCCCTGTTCAGCAATGACAGTTGATTTTTGTTAATAATCTCTTTAAAATCCGATTGGGTTCTTGCACTGTTATGTGGGCTGATTTCCATAGAAAATATATTTGGGAAACAAAGATTGCTGTTGATTCTATGGAACTAAATACATCCTTACATATTGTTACTGCCTGACTAGGTTTGGCAATCAAACTGTCTGGATTGGGGTAATTTGTTGTACTACTATGCAACATCAAATCACAACCTCCAAATCCACCAGGGTTCTTTTCCAAGTACTGGATGAGTTTAGCACCACCACGACTATTTTTCTAGTTATGGTAAGATTAATTTTGATTTTATGTGTCATGACATATGACTTTATTTCCAATGCAAACAGTCACAGGCCTGCATTGTTTACGCTGCCTAAGTTCCTTAGAACTGTTCAGTACATTGTCATGTATCCATAAGGCATTAATATTACCTAAGAATATTTTGAGAGCAAATTTTAAACTACTTTTTGAGAATGGCAAACAGTAAGGAACAGGATAAAAGTAGAGTGAGGGTAAGAAATTCCATTTTCTGTAGTATTTTCTAATTGCACCCTGGGTAAACACTATCAACTTTTAATAAATGCTGTACAGAATTTGCTCAAGAAGCCTGTCACCATTAGAGAGGTAAAAAATGATATGTATAAAATGTGATATATTAATGCAATCGTAAAGGTATTTTGAAGTTGCATATATTCCTATTCCTTACCCCCACCCTCAGGAACTCCCTTTCAAGCTCAATGAATATACACTTGCCTACAGACTGCATTAGGGAATCATGCCTGTTTCTATTTCTATACATTTTATTTATTATAATGAAGATAATTTGAATTGCAATCTGCAACTCCCTGAACATTTTTAAAACAACAAATGTAGTTAAACTAATGCCTGTGGCAATCTCTATTTATTCTTTGTGAGCATACACTTGCCATAACTCAAAACTGGGCTGAGCTTTAATTTAAATGTAACAAGGCAGAATACCAGTACAGCGGCTTTCAACAAAATGGCTGAAACTGGCTTCAGCATGATTTGCCTGGAAGGGAAGATGAAAATGTGTTTTAAAGGAGAAAAAATATCCTGACCAAAACCAGACATTCTAAACAACCACCACCGATACCCAGTGCTCCTCTCCTCCCCCATCTCTATCAGCTGCTAGGCTTTCAGCACTGTTTTTCGCCAGACACTAGCACAGTGTTTTCCTTCATAGTCAGCCATCAGCCAGAGCTGTCACTTGCAGATACTTCATTTTTGTTTCAGTCTAATTCATACTGCACCCCCTTAATCTCTGTAGTGAGTAATGCCATGTCACTGTGAAGATATGTCAGATCCAGCATTCGAAATACAGAGTGTTTCTAACAGTTAAACTATCTTGGTTTGAAGAAATATTTTATTTCTTCCCCCAACTTAACCGATGTTTTTCTCCTGAACATCTTCCAAGCTGACCTCCAAAGGAGCAGTCACTGTTCTGCAATCAGCCTCAGCTTTCATGGGGTGGGGGGTAAAGACAAGCTTCAGCCCTGTATTACTAAATGCAAATAATCAATATGTTGATTGAGCTTTTGGCTACCAGAGTTCTTTTGATGGGGGTGACAGTGAGCATGACTTGCCTCATTCAATGACAAGCCTGTTTAGACTTTTTTCTACCTACCACTTTGTGAATCAGGCAACTGAAAATACCCACAGCAATTCCTCCAAACTGTCAGCTATTGCTGTGATTCCACCCAGCACCCCCTGTACAAGACAACAGATTAACCATTAGGCTAGATATGTTGAAAATATACAGCTTCAACCTTTCCTCAGCTAGCTCAGAGCGATGTATAGATGATTATTTCAACCGTCAGCTGCCGCATAGACTTAAACCCCTGCACAATAACTCCTGGATTCATCTGCCCCTTGTCAAACTTGCACAGCTTTAGTTTGAGCATACATAGTGTGGCAGTTTCACTGCGGATCTAGAATAATCCAGACGGCTGCTGTCTCTTTGTTAACAGGAAGCTAAACTGATGAGTTTGTAATGCATTTCTTATCAAAGGTAGTTTCAAAAAAGAAAATGTGCCAAATCAGTTGGGGTTGGAATTTACCATAGTATTGAAATATGATTTAATCAAAACATTTGTTATTTGTTGGTGAAAAAAAACCACCCCACACTATTCATCCTCTAAAAATCATTTTATGCCAATCAACTATTTATTTAACAAATTTACTTGATTTTTTTGGTGGTAACATATGTAATGAAATCATTGACTAGAAACTACAATATAATGGTGCTTGATGAGATACAAGAACGTTAATTTTAGAAACTGTGGAGCAGCATTTGCTTGGTGTCTG